CCCAGGGAGTAGGCCTAAGCCAGCTGGTGGTTATCTCCTGAGGGGTCCCAGACTGTGAGAGGGCACAAGTGGGGCTGAGGGACACCCCCCGACCAGTGCACAAATTTTTGTGCACCAGGCCTCTAGTATAATAAAAGCCTAATATGCAAATTGTCCCCTTGACCGGGAGTTTGACTGCTTGCTATGATGTGCGCTGACCACCAGGCGGTGGCACAGAACATGGCGGGTGTTGACGACATGGTGCTGGCAGTGGGCAGCAATGGAGGCGTAGGCCCCGAAGAGAGCGGGACTGGGGTGGGATGGTGGAGCAGGTGAGTGGGTGGCGCCAGGCCAAGGTGGGTGTGAGCCAAGCCACTGGTTGCCGGGCAGGGGCGATTGCCCCGCTGATCTGATTGCCCCACCGCTGCTGGGCTCCCAGGTGCTGAGGGAGCTGGGCAGGGGCCCAATGCCCCCCCATCTGATTGCAGGGTGACCAGCAGTGGCGGCGGGGGAAGGGGCTACTGCCTGGCTCCCTCAGTGCCTGGGAGCCAGGCAGTGGCGGAGCGACTGGCGGAGCAATAGGACCCCGCAGACGGTGACCAGCAGCAGCGGTGGGGGGCAGGTGGCTGGAGGAAGGGAGAGAGTAGCTGGCAGCTGCTAGGGACCCTACCAGTTCACGAATTTCATGCACTGGGCCTCTAGTTGGTGTATAAAAAATCCATTGATTTTTGGGTGTTCATTTTATATTATGGTACATTGCCAAATTCATTTAGTAAATCTAGTAGTTTTTTGGTGGAGCCTTTAGGGTTTTCTCTGTATAATATTATGTCATCTGTGAATAGTGAGAGTTCTACTTCCTCCTTTCCAATTTGAATGCCTTTTATTTCTTCTTCTTGTCTGATCACTGTGCTAGGACTTCCAGTACTATGTTGAATAGGAGTGGTGAAAGTGGACATCCCTGTCTTGTTCCTGTTCTTAGGGGAAATGGTTTTAGTTTTTGCCCATTCAGTATGATATTCACTGTAGGTTTGTCATATATGGCCTTTATCATGTTGAGATATGCTCCCTCTATTCCCACTTTGCTGAGAATTTTTATCAAAAATGAGTGGTGGATTTTGTCGAATGCTTTTTCTGCGTCTATTGATATGTGATGTATCATGTGATTTTTGTCCTTCAGTTTATTTATGTGATGTATCACATTTATTAATTCGTGAATATTGTAACAGCCTTGTATCCCTGGAATAAATCCCATTTGGTCATGGGGTATGATTTTTTAAAATATATTGCTAGATCTGATTTGCTAATATTTTATTGAGGATTTTAGCATCTATGTGCATTAGGGATATTGGCTTGTAATTCCCTTTCTTTGTAGTGTCTTTATCTGGTTTTGGAATTAGGATAATTCTGGCCTCATAAAAACAACTTGGAAGTGTTCCTTCCTCTTGGATTTTTGGAATAGTTTGAGAAGTATAGGTGTTAGTTCTTCTTTGAATGTTTGGTAAAACTCCCCTGTGAAGGCATCCAGACCCGGGCTTTTGTTTGCTGGGAGTTTTTTGATTACTGCCTCTATTTCATCAGTTGTTATTGGCCTAGTCAGGTTTTCTGATTCTTCCTGATTCAGTTTTGGGAGATTGTATTTTTTCTACGAATTTTTCCATTTCATCCAAATTGTCCAGCTTGTTGGCATATAGTTGTTCACAGAATTTTCTTACAATCCTTTGTATTTCTTTGGTGTCAGTGGTTACTTCACTTTTGTTTCTGATTTAATTGGGTCCTCTCTCTTTGTTTCTTGATGAGTCTGGCTAACAGTTCATCAATCTTATTTATCCTTTCAAAAAACCAGCTCTTAGTTTCACTGATTTATTTTTATTTTTTTAGTCTCTATGTCATTTATTTTTGCTCTAATCTTTATTATTTCCTTCCTTCTACTTACTCTGGGATTTTCTTGTTGTTCTCCTTCTAGTTCTTTAAGTTGTAGGGCTAAATACTTTATTATTAACTTTTCTTGTTTTCTTGTTCATAGCCTGTAGTGCTATGAACTTCCCTCTCAGGGCTGCTTTTGCTGTGTCACGGAGATTTGGGGTAGTTGTGTGTTCATTTTCATTTGTTTCCCAAAAGTTTTTTATTTCTTTCTTGATCTCATTGGTAACCCATTCATTGTTTTAATAACATGCTAATTAGTCTTCATGAGTTTGAATGTTTTTGGGTGTTTTTACTGTAGTTGATTTCTAATTTCATTCCACTGTAATCTGAGAAGATACTTGATATGATTTCAATCTTCTTGAACTTGCAGAGACTTGTTTTGTGTCTAGTATTTAGTATTCACAAATACTAACATGTGGTATTTGTGAATGATCCATGTGCACTTGAGAAGAATGTATATTCTGCAGCTTTGGGGTAAAATGTTCTATAAATGTCAATTAAATCCATCTGATCCAGTGTGTTCTTAGAGTCACTGTTTCCTTGTTAATTTTTTGTCTGGAAGATCTATCCAGTGAAGTCAGTGGGGTGTTAAAATTCCCTACTATGACTGTATTGTTGTTCATCTCTCTACCTTAAAGTCCTCTGGAAGATTTAAAAAAAAAAAACATATTTAGGTGCTCCTATATTGGATGCATATGTGTTTACCAGGATTATATCGTCAGAGTAATTTCTTTAAAAATGCTTCCCACTACTTGTTGGGGGTAGGGGGTCTAGTTACAGGAACAGACACTGACCCCCTTCAGCCTTAAGGGGATGACTAGGTGACTAGAGCCCCAGGGTAGTGAGCTCCCATTTCAACAATCTTCACTCTTCCTCCCAGTGTGATGTCTAAATATTTCCATTTTCTCTGAGCTGTGTTGTGGAAAAGTTTGGGAAGCACCATATTGTAGCATGGGTTCTAGTCAAAAGAAAAATACACTGACCTACTCTAAGAGCTGGGAGAAGGCTGTATTCCGCATCTTCTTTAGAGCTTGGGAACTGTCTCTGGAACCTCCCATTTAAATCAGATCTGGCGGTTTCTCACCTCTTTTTGACAAGGTCTGGCGCTTCAGGTGAGTTGGCCCTGCCAGGTGACTGTTGGGAGTAGGCCTGGTTGGCCCAATTCAGCGATAGGTGAGCTTCACTTATGTTGCAGCTGTTTTCCTCCTGACTGGAAGTCAGCACACCCCTCCCTTCCAGCTCTCCTGCCTGAGACTGCACAGATGTGATGTTTGCTTGATCTTGTGGAATCATGCTTACTTTTCAAATTGGATGCTTATGTGAGCATTCTGTTTCCCAAATATATAACCCCACAACTGGTGTGCTCTTTCTGAAGTGGTGCAATCTGTTGCCTTCTTGTTGGTTCCAGCACTAGGACTTAAGAAATTGTTTTTTCACAAGTGAAATATTAAAGAATTCATTTGCAAAATCTCTTAGGCCCGTCACTTTTTTTAGCCATGGTTCCTTCAATATTTAAGAAATATTCTTTCACTTTTTTTCTTGTTTGTTGGCTTATGCAAGTGTTTGTTGGCTTATTCCTGAGGTAGTAATAAAAGCTAACCCTCTCTGAGTGCTTCTTGGGTGTCTTTAACTTCATATAGTATGACCTCATCTAATTCTGAGACCCATTCTCTGAGTCCCAATTTTCAGGCTTCTAAGTGTTCAAAGTTTGAGACCTGTTCAAAGTTTGTGGTGCCTTAACAATAGCAAAAAAATACACATCTGGGGAAGAACCTGGCTCGTGAGGCTGTAGTTTGTGACCTTTGATGGTAATAAGAATGCCCCTGACCAAAATTTGGGATATCCTGCCGGTGGAGGGCCAGGTGGGACGAAAATCAGTAATGAGGACCTTTCCAGAAGGAGGAGGGGTGGGAGGTGGGGTGATGTTGCCTGCATCAGTGGCTAGTCATGATTCTCCCTTATCCTAAGGATGGGACGTGAAGAATGGCTAAGAGGGAGTCAGAGGGTAGGACCTTCTGGCCAGTCAACCACGAACTAATTTGGCCTGCAGGCGGCCACTCTGCCCCTTGGTGAATGTAGGAGTCCCTAGACCAGTGGTTCTCAACCTTCCTAATGCCGCGACCCTTTAATACAGTTCCTCATGTTGTGGTGACCCCCAACCATAAAATTATTTTCGTTGCTACTTCATAACTGTAATTTTGCTACTGTTATGAATCATAATGTAAATATCTGATATGCAGGATATATTTTCATTGTTACAAATTGAACATAATTAAAGCATAGTGATTAATCACAAAAATAATATGTAATTATATATGTGTTTTCCGAGGGTCTTAGGCGACCCCTGTGAAAGGGTCGTTCGACCCCCCAAAGGGGTCGCGACCCACAGGTTGAGAACCACTGCCCTAGACCTTTGGAGGTCCGACCATTGGAGGTCCGACCTTTGTAGGTCCGTGACCTTTGTAGGTCCGTGACCTTTGTAGGTCCGTGACCTTTGTAGGTCCGTGACCTTTGTAGGTCCGTGACCTTTGTAGGTCCGTGACCTTTGTAGGTCCGTGACCTTTGTAGGTCCGTGACCTTTGTAGGTCCGTGACCTTTGTAGGTCCGTGACCTTTGTAGGTCCGTGACCTTTGTAGGTCCGTGACCTTTGTAGGTCCGTGACCTTTGTAGGTCCGTGACCTTTGTAGGTCCGTGACCTTTGTAGGTCCGTGACCTTTGTAGGTCCGTGACCTTTGTAGGTCCGTGACCTTTGTAGGTCCGTGACCTTTGTAGGTCCGTGACCTTTGTAGGTCCGTGACCTTTGTAGGTCCGTGACCTTTGTAGGTCCGTGACCTTTGTAGGTCCGTGACCTTTGTAGGTCCGTGACCTTTGTAGGTCCGTGACCTTTGTAGGTCCGTGACCTTTGTAGGTCCGTCAGGCGGCGAACGGGGAAGAGTCGCGACCCCCACGGAGCGCTGAGGCGGGCACTCCTAGAGACTCCGCTTTTGTCCCCCAAGTTTATTCCTAGTGACTTGCGACGGAGACCCGGGAAGGGGCGCGGCCGTGACGGTGTTATCGTCCCAGGGCGAGCCCGCGGGGTGCAGCGAGGCGCTGGGAAGATGCTCGAGGTCCTGGTGCTGAAGGTGAGCGAGCCGGAAGCCCGAGCGGGCGGTGGACGCCCCAGCTCCCCTGCAGGTCCTTCCGGTGGGGACAAGCGTTTGACCGCGGGTAGGGGTGCCGGATGCGGTCCTGGATTCTTCTTTTTTTTTTAAAAAAAAATTTTTTTTGTTTTATTGCTTAAAGTATTACAAAGAGTATTACATATGTCTCCTTTTTTCCCCCCTTGACATTCCCCCGGCCTCCCCTACCCCCCAGTGTCTTGTGTCCATTGGTTATGCTTATATGCATGCCGGTCCTGGATTCTTTAAGTAGAACCACCGACATTTGAGCGCAGCGGAGCCCCATGCACTGTGTAGGACATAGCATAAAAAGTTATTCGCTGTTTTTCCGAAATTCAGATGAATGCGCGTGGCCAGTATTTACTAATCCAGAATCTTAGGGGGTGGGCCGGACTGTTCTCCCACGCACCCCGCCCGGGTCCGCGCTGGTTGAGGGCTCCTGCAGGCCCAGGTCGGTGGATACGGGGACCCTGACCTGTTCTCCCGACATGGGTCCTCTCCAGGGGGTCACTATCCCCTTTGGACAGGGGCGGGGGTGACCGGTAACTCCCTTCCCTCCCAACCCCTCATACATGCGTTTGGTCTCCATTCGTGGTGACTCCCGTCTGCTCGCGCGCCTCAGGGCCTGGATCCTTGGAGCTGGGATGGGGGGCGCGGGGTGGGCGTCGCGGCGGGGGCTCACCCCATGTGAAGCCTGCTGAGTGGGGCCGGCAGCTGCAGTTTCTCAAAGTCTTTGAATCAGGCGAGTGTACCTTGGCGATGCAAGAGACTTGGGAAGGCGTGCTGTGTTCACCATGTTACTTGGAGGAAGGAGTTTATAAACCAGAGCAAAGGGGTGGGTTTTGGTTCCTGGGAAAAAAGGAAATATAAATTATGTTGTTGTTTTTTAAAAATCATATTTCATTGGGCAGAAGAGAGGGCCTTAACAAATGATGGGATTTTTAAAAAAATCAAACTTTACGTTCCTATTTTATGTCATGTTATTTTATATGAATTGAGATTCATAAACATTTGAAGTACCTGATTCTGACAGAGGATTTGCTCTGAGACTTTTAGGGGTTTCAGATCTATCTGGCAAACTCCTCTACCATCTGCCCTAAATAGACTAGTATAATATCTCCTTAGAAAGATAGGGCTTGCCTGGCCCACACGGCTCAGTGTTTGAGCGTCAAGAGGTCACTGGGATTCCGGTCAGGGCACATGCCGGGGTTGTTGGTGTGCAGGAGGCAGCCAGTCAGTGATTCTCTCTCATCTGTGTTTCTAACTCTCTTTCCCGCTCCCTTCCTCTCTCGGAAATCAACAAACACACGTAAAGATAGGACTCTCCCAGGGGTACAGATCCTGCCACATGCTAATCCATCAGGCTAGAACTCTGGCAGGAGGAGCTAGACTTAAACTGCCTGGAACTTGGGAACCTCTCTCTCTTTCAATTGGATTCAGGAACCTTTTTTCTACCCCCTCAGCTTTGGTCTGCCCCCAACTTCCTGCTCTTACCATGCTCACACTGAGCAAACTTTCTAGACAGTATAGGAGTATTCATTTCCCCAAGTGTGGTATAAGTACCAGTTGTTTTCCAGATTAATTTAGCTTTTACACGGATGAAATATTTTCCCCCAAGTGTCCATCAGTAGATGAATGGACAAGCAAAATTTGGAAGATACATTCAATGGAATATTATTCAGTTCTAAAAAGGAAGGAGCCCTAGCCGGTGTTCTCAGTAGATAGAGTGCGGCAAGTACACTGAAGGGTTGTGGGTTCAATTCCCGGTCAAGGGCATGTACCTGGGTTACAGGCTCGATCCCTGGCCCTGGTTGGGGCATGTGCAGGAGGCAACCAATTAATGTGTGTCTCTTGCCTCCCTCCATCCCTTCCACTCTCTAAAAATCAGTGGGAAAAACATCCTCAGGTGAGGATTAACAAAAATAAACAAAGGATTCTGGTGATCCAGTTCCATTCAAGTCCCAGCTCTTTGGGTCCTTGGGGGCTTTGATTCTCCCTGCTATTTATTTATTTATTTACTTACTTACTTATTTGGGTTTATCCTTACTGAGGAAATTTTTTCCATTGGTTTTTAGAGAGAGTGGGGTCGGGGGGAGAGAAGCATTGACGTGAGAGAAACACATAGTTTGGTTGCTTCCTGCACATGCCCTGACTGGGGCCAGGTATTGAACCAGCAACCCAGATATGTGCCCTTGACCAGGAATCGAACCTGCGACCCTTTGGTGCATGGGCCAATGCTCTAACCACTGAGAACACGCTCCAGGGCGGTTCTGGGTGTTGTAGAAGGTCAAAATTCTCTCCTGTGAGCTTGCTTTGGTGACATGACTTAGGTCAGTGGTTCTCAACCTTGGCTGCACATTAGAATTACCTGGGAGTCTTTTTAAAATCCTGATTTATGGGCCTCATCCTCCGGAAATTCTGTTTCTTTGTTATGGGGTGGGGCCACAACATTAGTAACAAAGAAACAGAATGGATACTTGAGATAAGTACATAAACAGAATTTCTGAGGCCCAGAAATCAGGATTTTAAAAAGATTCCTAGGTGATTCTAATGTGCAGCCAAGGTTGAGAACCACTGACTTAGGTTATCCCTGAAAAACAACTCAGCATCTAATTAGAAACAGGACAAGGCCAGTTTGAGCTTGTTCTGGGGTTACACACATCTCAAAGGGATGGGAAGGATTCACAACTGTAAGCCCTTTAGTAAAGGGAGGTTAACGGCATTTGTCAGGTGTTGGCCAGAACAAACAATAAATTCTCCTGGCAGGCATTTTAGAGGGGGACTGGTCATTGTGGGGACACAGCCTTATGCGGCTGGAAGCCACACTAGAGTTTGGCCTCTTAGTGCAGAGGTTGAGACAAGTCTGTGTGCTGAGAGTTCTACAGTTCTCATGAGCAGCAGCTATAAAACTGTATTTCTTTCAACCGTCCAATGTTGCTTTTCTCTGGACTCCTTGGAGTCTTACCTGCACAATTCAGGGTCTGCCAAGGGTTGGGGGTTTTCTGATGCAGACTTTAGGGCTCTCCCTCTGTGGCTCTTCAGAATTTCTCCCCTTAATTTATAGCTGCTCTGGCAGGTCCATCCTCTGTTCTCTGGCTCCTCCAGCCACAGACTGACTTTCTGCTTGAGTTTGTAGCTGCTCTGCAGCACCTGGACTGGGGAGGGTTCCCGAAAGCTGCGTGTAAATGTAGAAAGAATACTAATGCGAACACCTGTATTCCTGCCACCTGGTACTTAGAAGCCAAATCTTGGGATGTCATTGCTTTTAGGCTCTTTCAGGAGGAAGAATTAGGAAATGGATACATGAGGTAAGTACATAAATGAGTTCCTATTTTCAATTCAAATTTAACTTTTCATTTTATATTTGTACCTTTAACAGTGAAAATCTTAGTTTCTAAGATAACAAGATACATTCAGAGAAATCTGACTTCCATCTCTGTCCTTTCTAGCCCACTTCTGGCTTCCTCTGTAGGTAATAATTTGTATTTGGTTTTGTTATCTACCATCATTTATTTCTTTTCACATGAGCAGAATGTATATTTCCTCTCTTTTAAAAAATAATGTATTTTGGCCTAGTACATTGTGCCTTGTTGTGTTGTATTTTGTGCCTTTAAATCAACGCAGCAGATCCAAGCAACAGCAGGCCCCTGATCACCGCAGCCTCCTGATCACCACACCCTCTGTCTGAGGAACAGCAGCTATACGTGAAGCCTCCCCCCACCAGCCAGAAGAGCCACCACAGCTGCGAACAGCACCCACCAGAGGAGCTGCTGCCAACTGGGAAACAGCTGCTACCGCAACTGTCCGAGCAGCAACCACAAACCAAGGAGCCCCTGCCACCCAGGGAGCAGCCACTGAATGACTCAACATCTACATATGTCAGCGAGATCAAACATGGGTAGGCAAAGAAACCCCCAAAGGAAAGAAAAGGAGGACTCGCCAGAAAAGCAGCTAAGTGATACAGAGGCATGCAACATGACAGAAAAAGAATTCAGAATAAGGGTCCTAGAATGCATACACCGGACGGAGGAAAAAGTCAACAACTTATTCAAGAAGCAAGAAGAAACAGATGAAAAAATCAACAGCTTATGCAAGAAGCAAGAAGAAACAGATGAAAAAATCAACAGCTTATGCAAGAAGCAAGAAGAAACAGATGAAAAAATCAACAGCTTATGCAAGAAGCAAGAAGAAACAGATGAAAAAATCAACAGCTTATGCAAGAAGCAAGAAGAAACAGATGAAAAAATCAACAGCTTATGCAAGAAGCAAGAAGAAACAGATGAAAAAATCAACAGCTTATGCAAGAAGCAAGAAGAAACAGATGAAAAAATCAACTACTTATGCAAGAAGCAAGAAGAAACAGATGAAAAAATCAACAGCTTATGCAAGAAGCAAGAAGAAACAGATGAAAAAATCAACAGCTTATGCAAGAAGCAAGAAGAAACAGATGAAAAAATCAACAGCTTATGCAAGAAGCAAGAAGAAACAGATGAAAAAATCAACAGCTTATGCAAGAAGCAAGAAGAAACAGATGAAAAAATCAACAGCTTATGCAAGAAGCAAGAAGAAACAGATGAAAAAATCAACAGCTTATGCAAGAAGCAAGAAGAAACAGATGAAAAAATCAACTACTTATGCAAGAAGCAAGAAGAAACAGATGAAAAAATCAACAGCTTATGCAAGAAGCAAGAAGAAACAGATGAAAAAATCAACAGCTTATGCAAGAAGCAAGAAGAAACAGATGAAAAAATCAACAGCTTATGCAAGAAGCAAGAAGAAACAGATGAAAAAATCAACAGCTTATGCAAGAAGCAAGAAGAAACAGATGAAAAAATCAACAGCTTATGCAAGAAGCAAGAAGAAACAGATGAAAAAATCAACTACTTATGCAAGAAGCAAGAAGAAACAGATGAAAAAATCAACAGCTTATGCAAGAAGCAAGAAGAAACAGATGAAAAAATCAA